AACATCATTGTGTTTTTGATAAGACCTTTGATTGAAATCTAGCTATGCTATACTACATACACATATATATTGGGATTGTTCACTATTGGCATGTAGATAGTTTAGGAAAAGACAACGATAATTTATGCTCTTTAGAAGCTAATTAAATTCACATCATTTTAAAGTGAGGAAATTAGATTCTTAAATGACTACATCAAATCTGATGTAATGAGTCGAACCAGCAATGTACCACTCAGCCTCGCTGCCGTTCGAGCTATTGGATTGCACAATTCAGGTGACATGCGGCATGTCTGCAATGCCATGGCATGGTCCGGTCACCCAGCGAAAGGTCCATGCAATCATTTTGTGGTCACAATGACGCAGGCGGCAAGGCGGCAAAAGAAAAACATTTGTTCCACGACCTCATACCTTCGCCAAATGATGTTAACCTTTGGAATTATACAATTTTAATCATTGATTTTGTAAATAAGAGCCTCATTTGCATGGATTATATCAGTTGATCATATTCTCCAACCAATGACAGCCTTATTTTAACAAAAAGGCTATTATAGCTCTTCCTCATAAATTATGCAGATGAGGGGATGATTTGAATAAATTATGTTTATTGATGTTCACCTTCACTTAACTTCCAAATGTGGCAAGTATGAAATTCCCAGCAGTTACAACTATGAAAAATTTTCCATTAATTATGCAAATTAGGTCCTCATTTACATAATCTATATCCTCAAATGTTTTTCTCGTTCTCAAGTAGATGTCACAAGTGTTTCATAGTTCTATTATCGAAAAAAGCAGATTTATAGAATGTCCTTATCAATTATGCAAATTAGCTCCTGATTTGCATAATTGTCATTTGATTATGTCAAACATCACTTCAACTACCAACATACCAAAAATCACTACAGTCCGTCCGTCTTGAGTTAACCTTGTTCGAACATTTTTCAACAAATGCGCCTGCAGTTCCAGAACAAGCAGCTAAGGGACCCAAACTTATGTCAAATCTTTCCTATCCCAAGAGCTATCTGCCATCCAAAATTCGTGACCCTGGCACGTCCAGATCACGAGATATCAAAACCGAAAGTTCTGCTGCAGTACCTAGGAAGGCCACCAGGGGACCCAAAATCTAATCATTTCTAGGTCTCATAAAGACCTACCCACCTACCAAGTTTCATTCCAATCCATTCACTGCTTCTTGAGTTATCTTGCTAAACCACACACACACACACACAAACACACACAAACACACACACGCACAAACACACACACACACACACACACACACACACACACACACACACACACACAAACGCTACAGAAAACATAACCTTCTTGGCGAAGGTAAAAAAATCCTGTATATAGAAGGAGTATATGATATCACTAACTGACTTTTGCGTACTTTGCTGTTTGGTTATATTTAATAACAACAAGAAATCCCTTTAATCTTTACGGTACGTTCCGCTTATAAAATCCATCATACGGTACGCAGACGTTCCCACACCGGTGAATATTTGGTGCTTCGTCAAAGGTGCACTGTTGCTGCAACAGCGGGCCTATAAAACTGTCACACTCGGCCAGGATTTAGGCAAGGTGTGCACGTTGGCTTGCTGCTCTCTCCATTTTCCGTGTGGACGTGAAAGTCCGGGAATACATCTTTCCCCGTTCTTGCCGAAACGCGCTTCCGTTTTCCTTTGTTTATAGCTAATTATTACCTTCGCCAAGAAGGTTATGTTTTCAGTAGCGTTTGTCTGTGTGTGTGTGTGTGTGTTTGTGTGTGTGTGTGTGTGTGTGTGTGTGTGGTTTAGCAAGATAACTCAAGAAGCAGTGAATGGATTGGAATGAAACTTGGTAGGTGGGTAGGTCTTTATGAGACTTAGAAATGATTAGATTTTGGGCCCCCTGGCGGCTTTCCTAGGTACTGCAGCAGAACTTCTGGTTCTGATATCTCGTGATTTGGACATGCTAGGATCACGAATTTTAAATGGCAGATAGCTCTTGGAATAGGGAAGAAGTGACATAAGTTTGGGTCCCCTAGCTGCTTGTTCTGGAACTGCAGGTGCATTTGTTGAAAAAAAATTGAAGGAGGATAACTCAAGAACCGGTTGACGGATTGTCGTGATTTTTGGTATGTAGGTAGTTGAAGTGATGTTTGACATAATCAAATGACAATTATGCAAATCAGGAGCTAATTTGCATAATTAATGAGGACATTCTATAAATCTGCTTTGTTCGATAATAGAACTATGAAACAGTTGTGACATCTACTTGAGAACGAGAAAAAACATTTGAGGATATAGATTATGTAAATGAGGACCTAATTTGCATAATTAATGGCAAATTTTTATAATTTCATAGTTGTAACTGCTGGGAATTTCATACTTGCCACATTTGGAAGTTAAGTGAAGGTGAACATCAATAAACATAATTTATTCAAATCATGACCTCATCTGCATAATTCATGAGGAAGAGCTATAATAGCCTTTTTGTTAAAATAAGGCTGTCATTGGGTGGAGAATATGATCAACTGATATAATCCATGCAAATGAGGTCCTTATTTACAAAATCAATGATTAAAATTGTATAATCGCAACATCATTTGGCGAAGGTATGAGATCGTGGAACTCTTGTTATGAAATGTTAAATGCCTAATCTTGATTAGGGATTCCCACGAGGCCCATTTTTTAACTTGACCACAAAAGGTCCACTACAGTGACGTAGGGACCTCCATGAGGGCATTTTTGAACTTCACCATTGTATCCCCAACGGCAACCTGCCTACCAAAAATTCACTAACATCGAATCATGCCTTCAAGAGTTATGCCGCCTAGTATCCCACACACTATAGGTAGCAAAGCGATTTCATAGCCTTCCAAACAAAGGCAATTATTTGATGATTAGGCGACGACAAACACCATATCTTCCTGTATGGTTTTCTATTTATTTCTCTCAGGTGCCACACCCATACGGCAGCCTGAGCCTTATTGGCGATCACGTGCGGACGCCGCTGCAAAAATACTCAACCCTATGTACGCCTCCAATGCAGGTAAATCAGCTACAGGGGTTATCATTTCCGTATCGTAATTTTACTAGCGTTAATTTTCTGCAGATGCCTAATTAAATTTTCTTCACTTGTCTCAGGCACCACGCCCATGCAGCAGCCTCAGTCACTGCGATCACGTGCGGACGCCGCTGCCAATATGATCAATCCTATCTACGCTTCTGGTTCAGGTAAATTGTCCTAATTTCGATCGTTTGGTATGTTAAAGGCCCAATATTTGTCACTAATGAAATATTACGTCTTTGTTTTCTTTTCACTCAGCCGACTCACCCATGGACCAGCCCCAGAGTGATAACCAGGCACGTGCGAACGACGATGAAAACACAACCGAAGTCACGTACGCCACCATACCAGGTAAAACGTTTTAGGTTTATCTCTTTTCTTGCATCCTGTTTTTCTCATCCCTTTGTTATTACAAGCTGTGGATTTCTTTTAGATAGTTACCGTGATTGGTCTGTGGTACTATTTGCGTGCACATGTAGGTTTTTGTTGAGAAGTTTATAGATTACGTCGATGAAGGTTAGACATCCAGGTAATACGATATGCCAAAAAACAGTTACTCAAGCAACTGGATATGATTTTGAAAACGTCAGACGTTTCAGCTAGTATCCACTAGCTTTCGTCAGTGACTGAGAGACCAGAGGGGAAAGCAGGTTTATATACACAACCTGTTGATTGATATGCAAATAAAGTGAAGACAATTTTTTTTTTTGAAGTCGAAAAAGGAACAAAAGTCAGACAAGTCAAGACAAGATGATGCAAATTAGTCTGAAAGCTCCTGTTATACAGGACAGGAGCTTAAGTGTTGTCTGTCCTCGGGGCTGGGAGTGCCAAATCCCAAGTGCCGGAAAGATCGACCCGTAGCCCCCCTTCCCTGTTGAGGGTGGGGTTGTACATTCTTTCATATATTGCCTCTTTAACACCCCGTTCCCACCAGCGTGTTTCGCGGTCTAAGACATCCGTGGACTCGAGTTTGAAAGAGTGACCCTGGTTGTGTTGTAGGTGGTGGAAAATAGCTGAGGAGTAGCCGTTGGCACTAGGTCGGCAATGTTCTTTGTACCTTACTTTAAGCGGTCGACTTGTCTCTCCGATGTAGGTGTTGTTACAATTGGGCTCCTCACATTTGAGTCTGTAAATAACATTCGCCTTGGTACCCTTGTGAGGTCGGTCCTTAGGGTGTACCAGTCTTTGTCTGAGGGTTGAGTGAGGTTTGAAGTTAGTGGCTATGTTGAAGTTTTGGAAGATCCGTCGGAGTTTCTCAGATACTCCTTGGACATACGGAATAGTGATGTTGGCCTTGTTTTTGTTGGTCAATGGTTTGCACTTCTGGGTTTTCTTAGACTGATCTGAAGGTTTGAGCGCTTTGTTGAAAGTCCAGTTTTGGTAGCCACATTTAGCCAGGGCACCTCGGAGGTGTCTTTGTTCGTCCGTTTTGGCTTGGTCTGAAGTGACAATGTTGTCTGCACGATGGAAGAGAGTTTTGATCACTGCTAGTTTGTGTTCCAAAGGGTGGTGGGAATCAAAAGCCAGGTACTGATCAGTGTGGGTTGGTTTCCTGTACACTTCGAAACGAAGGTTACCATCTTCCTCTACGATAGTTTTGGTGTCTAGGAAAGGGAGCATGTTGTCATGGCTTGGCTCCTGTGTGAACTTGATGTTGTCATCTATCTGGTTGATGTGGTCAAAGAAGTCAGCAGCTACCCTCTTTTTCAATCTGCACCAAGTGTCATCTACATATCGAAACCAGTTGGCCGGGGGAGTGTCATTGAAAGTGCTGAGGGCTTTGTTTTCAAACTTCTCCATGTACAGGTTTACAACAATTGGTGAGACTGGTGATCCCATAGCACAGCCGTGCATTTGTTGGTAGAACTGTCCTTTGTAGGTAAAGTATGTGCATCCTAAGCAGAGTTCTAGTAGCTCACAAACTTGGTCAACGGATAGGTTGGTTCTATCTGCAAGTGTATCATCGGCTTCCAAGGCTTCCTTGACTACTGACACTGCTTCCTTGGGTGGTATGGAGGTGAAAAGTGAGCACACGTCATACGAAGTGATGGTTTCATCATCCTCTACATGAATGTCTTTGATTTTGTTGACAAAGTCGGCACTATTCTGTACATGGTGCTGAGATTTCCCCACTAGTGGTCCTAAAATCTTGGCTAGAAAACCTGCTAACTCATAGGTGACAGAGCCTATACTGGAGACTATGGGTCGTAGAGGGACACTTTGTTTGTGGATTTTGGGAAGGCCGTAGAAAGCAGGGGGTTGTTCCGTTGTGGGATTGAGTTTTAGGTAGGTGGGGCGATCCAGAACTCCTTCAGTTTGCAATTTCTTGAGAGCTGAACTGATTTTCCCTTTAAACTTGTTAGTGGGGTCCTTTTTCAAGGGCATGTAGGTGTCTTTGTCTCCCAATAGGTCCTGTACCTTCCTGTCGTACTGCTCCCTGTCTAAGACTACTGTGCATCTGCCCTTGTCTGCAGGAAGAATCAATATGTCTTGATTGGTAGCCAAATCTTTGAGAGCGGTACGTTCTTCCCGTGTGATGTTACTAGCAGGGGGTTTGGAGACTTTCAGGGTGGTAGCTACTTTGGTGCGCAAGGCTTCAGCTTGTCTCTGTGGTAAACGTGCCCGACGAATTGCTGACTCGGTTTCTGTCACAATGTCAATGCTGGGAATCTTGTTGGGTGCTACTGCAAAATTTAGACCTTTAGAAAGCAGTGATTTCTCTGGTTCTGTGAGAGTATGGCTACTTAGGTTTTTTACCCACCTCTCGTCGGTTTTGGCCTGTGTAGTGGTTTTGGGTTCGGAACTGTTTGATCTCCAATTTGGGTCACTATCTGCTGCGCTAATAGTCTTCTTTTGCTGTAAACGATCAAATTTGGTCTTCTGTCTGTCTTTTCCCTTCTCGTGCTGATCAAGTTGTCCGCGTGTTATGAACTCTTTAGTTTCGGCAAAAATCTCGTCTGATAGTTTCTCCCTCAGTAGTTTTTCAAGGTTAGATTTCCTCGCGTTTAGACCGTCTAATTTGTAGTTGATCTGTCTTACCCTTTCGTTTAGTAACTTTCTTTCCGCGTTGAAGATGATCTTGTTGGCGTTGAAGCCTCTGATGGAAGTTTTTAGGCGTAGGCTGGTGGGTGTGATACTTACCTTGAGGCAGCGTAGACTGAAGCGTAGATGATTCCGGAAATCTGCAATCTTCCTGCTGGTCTTCTCCAGATCCCTCACAGAGCTCAGGCAAAACTTACCGTAATGATCCAAGATACGTCGATGAAGGTTAGACATCCAGGTAATACGATATGCCAAAAAACAGTTACTCAAGCAACTGGATATGATTTTGAAAACGTCAGACGTTTCAGCTAGTATCCACTAGCTTTCGTCAGTGACTGAGAGACCAGAGGGGAAAGCAGGTTTATATACACAACCTGTTGATTGATATGCAAATAAAGTGAAGACAAATTTTTGGAAGTCGAAAAAGGAACAAAAGTCAGACAAGTCAAGACAAGATGATGCAAATTAGTCTGAAAGCTCCTGTTATACAGGACAGGAGCTTAAGACTTCCAAAAAAAAAATTTTGTCTTCACTTTATTTGCATATCAATCAACAGGTTGTGTATATAAACCTGCTTTCCCCATCCTGGTCTCATCCGTTTGTTATTACAAGCTGTGGATTTCTTTTAGGTAGTTACCGTGATTGGTCTGTGGTACTATTTGCGTGCACATGTAGGCTTTTGTTGAGAAGTTTATAGATTAGCTTGTCAATATACCTACACAGTTTTGTAATGTACCAGAAGCATCATTTGTAAGCAAGAAAGAAACCACTGTAAACATGCATGTCCGATGAACTAGTTCCATACCTTCAAATGCTGAGGTCAATTTTCTAAACATGTAGTTCCCATTATTTATTTCTTAAAAACTTTTTTGTGCTTACTTGTTCAGATAAATCATTTATAGTATCTGTGTTGTTAATTTTGTATGTTAAAATATTGATATTGGGCCTTTAACGCCCAATATTTTTCACAGATGACTATATTACATCTTTGTTTTTTTCGTCCAGACGACCCACCCATGGACCAACCCCAGGCACGTGCGAACGACGATGAAAACACACCCGACGCCACTATACCAGGTTAAACTTTTTTTCATAAGTAATAAGAAAATAATCAGGTGGAACATTAACAGGCTACGTTTATGCAAATGAGGTCTAATTTGCACAATCAATACGACAATGCTATTTTTTCCTAATGGTAAATTATTGGTATTTCATCGACACGTGTTCATTTGTTCAATCTGCATCACTACGTGTAAATGTCGACGTAAACAATAACCTGAGCGAAGTACGCTTTTCCTACCAGACGGCGCGTATCCGGGTGGAGTGAGCGGCCGCCGGGATGTCTGTAGCTTCCTCCGCGCCCGCCGCAGCTGTCTGGCCGCTGGCATCGCCGTGCTACTGAGCCTGTGCGCCGTGGGAGTCGCCCCTCTGACGTTCAGCATCAAACAGGTAACATTCTAGTACCACAAAGCTTGTTGTGCAGCTGTTTATATGATTCTCAAGGGTAGAAGAAACTGCAATTTTTTGTAAGTTTATTTCTTACGTTCGGTATTCTAACGTAAGTAAATACGTTTGTAGGAAATATCTCAATTGTCGACAACTATGAAACGCGACATGCACCAACTGGCTACCACTGTCAACGCTTTGAAATGCGATCAAGGTGACATGTGCAAACTGTTTGACACTGTTGACGCCTTGAAACTTGACCTGGACAACGAGCGAAACCGATCCGCCACCTTGGAGCAGCGTCTTAAAGACGACATGTCCACCGCTGTTGACGCCTTGAAACTTGACCTGGACAACGAGCGAAACCGATCCGCCACCTTGGAGCAGCGTCTTCTCAAGATGGAGAAGAGTTTGCGTAAATATGAATTCATCTTAAACTGTTATGATGATGTTTTGCTCTTAAAGTTTCTCTATTTGAAAACGTTAGGAAATTTTGTCATTATTTCATTGTGTGTCCGTGGGGGTGGGTTTGGTGTCACCTTTAATACTGTGTCATTAAATATTTTGAATACAGCGCCGAGGGTAGATTTATAACAAATATGTCATGATTTTAATATCACCCATCATGGCCTGTTGCTAATACAAATCTTGTTTTTCAGCATCTTGTCCCGAAGGTTACACCAAGTGGCGTGGAATCTGCTACAAGGCCTTCAACACACGCAAGAACTTCACCGAAGCGGCCGCGGCCTGTCGTGCAGACGGCGGCACCCTCGCCATGCCCCGAGACGCTGAGACCGACGCCTTCCTCATCTCCCTGTACAAGTCCGTGCGCGACGACAGGGCCTTCTGGTTTGGCCTGCACTATCAGCAAAAAGAACGAAGGTTTGAGTGGGTGGACGGGTCTGCACTTGGGCCGTACAGCTCCTGGGCTCCGGGAGAACCTCACACAGTTCCGGGCGGCGAAGATTGCGTCTCTTACACCACATCCCAGAAGTGGAACGACCATAAATGCCACGATACGTTTCCCTTCATTTGCCAGAATACCCAAGGTACGCATTGTATCATCACTATTGCTAAAACGCTTCCATCTAGTAAACACGGCAAAGCTTCTGTATCTGCATCTGTATAGCCGGTATAACCGCCTTTCGGCGTAACACACAAGCTTCGCAGGCACGCGGCGCGGCGGCCTCTGGCTACATTACACCGATTGATCAGTTACACCTAACCCTCGAACTTCTAACTCTAGACATTGTTCAAAGCTATCTAATGGCAATGATCCTACTTTACTTGGTGACAGCGAGTTCCACTCTAGTTTTAGGAAAGAATTAACTCTTGAACACCTTGATCCTTGGTTGATAACTCTGGTACTTGAAGGCATGGCTATTTCTTGTTCTCTTCTGGGCATATGTATAGCACATGTGCCATGCACTGTGTCAAAGTATATATTCTTATATCGAATACAGCGCACGTATATCATGTTTTCAATATGGCCCATCCATGACCTGTTGCTGACATAAACCTTCTTTTCCAGTATTTTGTCCCAGTTGGTACACAATCTGGCGTGGAACCTGCTACAGGGCCTTCGACAAACGCAAGAACTTCACTGTGTCATATTAAATATTTTAAAAACAGCGCCGAGGGTAGATTTATAACACGTATGTCATGATTTTAATATGACCCATCATGGCCCGTTGCTAATACAAATCTTGTTTATAGCCGTTTGTCCTAAAGGTCACACCAAGTGTCGTGGAATCTGCTACAAGGCCTTCAACACACGCAAGAACTTCACCGAAGCGGCCGCGGCCTGTCGTGCAGACGGCGGCACCCTCGCCATGCCCCGAGACGCTGAGACCAACGCCTTCCTCATCTCCCTGTACAAGTCCGTGCGCGACGACAGGGCCTTCTGGTTTGGCCTGCACGATCAGGCCGTAGAGGGAAGGTTTGAGTGGGTGGACGGGTCTTCACTTGGGCCGTACAGCTCCTGGGCTCCGGGAGAACCGAACAACCTGGGGTGTTGTGATGATTGCGTCGTTTACTCCGCAAGGAAGAAAGACAAGTGGGGCGACGAAGAATGCCACAAGACGTTTCGCTTCATATGCCAGGCTGCTCCAGGTACTTCTTGTATCCGCACTATTTCCTGAAACCCTTCCATCCAGTAAACATGGCACAGCTTAAGGACCCGTCAGTCTAAGGCGGCAGAACACCATTGCTCTTGTTACAAACCAAGTCTTAACTAAACCATTCCACAGCTCATCCCTGATAATTCTATTTGTTTTTTCAGAACGTCCATAGGCGACAGGAGGGAGTTCCACCACTGCCAAAGAAGTAGACGCTGTGCCAATAAAACATTCACATTTCCTTGATTTTATTACTTGTATCATTATTGTTACTTATTGCGATACAATGTAGAAAAACACAATGCCCTTCTGGTGGAAGAATAGAATCAAGCTCACTTGGTAAAAATCGACAACACTCGAATTAACTGAATTTGGGAGAGAAGAAGAAATGGTGGTCTGTCACAGAAGTAGACGCTGTGCCAATAGAACATGCAGAGTTGTATTACTTGTTATTACTTATTTAGACAATGTCCTTCTAATGGCAGAATGATATAAAGTTTACTTGGTAAAAATAAGGGCAACATTCAGATGTAAGTTTTCCTGAATATTTGGAAGTCTAGCGATTCTGTCATAGAGGTAGATGCTGTATCAGTAGAATATTCATTTTTAGACGACGCGGGGAGTTGTATTACTTGTTATTACTTATTTAGACAAGGCACACAATATACTTCTAATGGCAGAATCAAAATCAAATTTACTTGATGAAAATAAGGACAACATTCAGATGTAAGTTTTCTTGAATATTTTGAAAGTAACAAGTTTAGAAATGGTGATTTTGTGGTAGAAGTAGATGTCCTGCTAATACAATATTCATATTTTTCATTACTTTTATTAATATTATTATTTATAACGACACATTGTACAGATACACAATGTCCTTCTGAATGCAGGATCATTGAAGATTATTTGGTAAAGAACGGGCAAAACGTGTTTTAAATGTTTGGAAGACAAAAAATCTTACGAAAAGTTGGATCCGTCACACAGGTAGACGACGTACCAATATAACATGCACAGTTTTATTACTTATTAGTACTTATTTTAGACAAGGTACCGAATGTTCTTCTGATGACTGAATCATATCACGTTTACTTGGTAAAAATTTGGCAACACTAGAATTGAGTGAACTTTGGGAAGAAACCACCTGGAACAAGTCAGTAATGATGGTTCTGTCATGGAAGGAAAGGCTTACGGTGCCAATATAACGTGTTATTAGTAAGAAGCATCTAAGTATAGGATTGAAGCGGTAGTATGTAAAAGAATTTCAATTGTACATTAATGACGTCAGCAGATTTATAATTGTTGTGTTATATGGATGTTTGACGGAGCTTTTGAAGAACCTGTGGCATGTAAACATGGATGTAACAATGTAACAGTTTAATGCCACTGTAACAATCTAGACTGTAACAATGTAACAGTTTAATGCCACTTTAACAACCAAGACGGTAAGAATGAAACGGTTTAGTACAACTGTAACACTCAAGACTGAAACAATGTAACGGAGTTTAATACTACTGTAACAATCTAGACTGTAACAATGTAACAGTTCGTCACCACTGTAACAATTAAGAATGTAACAATCTAACACTACTGGTATTAATATATATATTATCATCACGACTGTAACAATACAACAGTGTAACAATCAAGACTGTAACAATGCAACAGTTTAATACCACTGTTAAATCTGCTGTCTGTAATTGAGAGTGTTAAGAATGCAAAAGATGTAGCGCTTTTTGGTGATTCCTACAATAAAAAAGAACTATTATGGTTCAATGCACCTCTGTAGTTTTTGAACTGTGTGTCAGTGTGACAGGATGTTTGTGTGTTAGATCTGGTCTGTGTGTCAGTGTGACAGGATGTTTGGTGCGTTAGATCTGGCCTGTGTGTCAGTGTGACAGGATGTTTGGTGCATTAGATCTGGTCTGTGTGTCAGTGTGACAGGATGTTTGGTGCGTTAGATCTGGCCTGTGTGTCAGTGTGACAGGATGTTTGTGTGTAAGATCTGGCCTGTGTGTCAGTGTGACAGGATGTGTGTTAGATCTGGCCTGTGTGTAAGTGAGACAGGATGTGCGTTAGATCTGGCCTGTGTGTCAGTGTGACAGGATGTTTGTGTGTGTTAGATCTGGTCTGTGTGTCAGTGTGACAGGATGTTTGTGTGTTAGATCTGGTCTGTGTGTCAGTGT